CTTCCGCTGTGAACTTGAAGGCACCAGGAAACACAGAACGCGGCAAGACCCACAGACGGCGGTTTCAATGGTGGAGGAGCGAGCATCGGGAAGGGCGATCATGTCTGGCCCCGGGGCGTCGATGAAGTGGACGACGTAGTAATCGGAAGGAAGAGGCGGTCCACAGATCCTGCCTAGTCACCTAAGTCCCTCTTGGGCATTGCACCAGAAGAAAGCGCCCACACGCCGAGGAGTAGCGGCGAAGCGACGGTTCCATGTAGAACGAGAGACGAAATAGTAGCCCAAGGCAAGGATCGCTCACCTTTGACACGCGCTGATTCTCGCGTGGCCACACCAATACACATCGCGCGATGCTGGTCGGGCAAGCCCGTCCAATGCCGGAGAATGCGTGGCTTCTGGAGTGCTGAAGATCCATCCCACGCTCCCATCACGGAAGAAGACGTTTCCAGTGTGTCTGGTACACAACAGCGGTGGTGTCACCACGAACACGAACAAACTGATGTCCACTAATGCGTTCAACCTCCTGATGTTCAACCGGAGTCGACACTTCCGTCTTCCGTAACATCGTGGGGAAGAAATTTGGTCGCAAATGTGTCCAAGACAAACTGCGTGAGATCGGCAAGTAGGAGCCTCGGCATGTCGTCGGTATCATGCCGGTTGGCGCAGGCTTGCGACGCACAACCGACACCCCAGGTTTCGAGTCGTGGCCAGGCAGGTCCGACGGAATATCCAAGTAGAGCAACTTGGACGCCAAAGGACTGCCATCAGGGGGCGTTTACGAACAGGGTCCAACAGCCAAAACTTTGAACGGACCGATCCATAGCAAACACAATTAGTCTGTGAGAACCTTGTTGTCTGTACCTGAACGAACACCTTGGTAAATGGTTGATTAGGAGTTATATATCAAGACCCATCCACCAACTTTAGTGGCCGCGGGCGCAAGGATGCTCAAGAACAGAAATCGGCAAGCGAGCCAGATAGTTCATGAGCACCTCATTTGGCGTCAAATCAGTGGCTGCACTAACCGAGTTGTTGCAAGCAAACTCAACGTGTGGTAGATGGGCATCCCAGTCGTCTTCCGCCTCTCATGACCCTAGCCATAGTGTGATTGACACGTCCCGGAGCCACCATTTCCGTTGGGGTCGTAGGAGCTAGTAGTAGCCACTTTGCGAATAGCCAAACGTGTTAGTATAGCTTGGGAGACTTTCGAGCAAACCTGGAAACCACTGTCAGACGAAAGCCAACCCTACAAGGGCTATATCGATTGACCAAGATGTCGGCAGTGCCCTCGGCATACATATGAGCACGGCGACTGAAACAGTCTATGAAGAGCAGAATGTACGTGTCACAGCGCGGCGTGACAGAAAGAGGGTCGAGGTAGTAGTCGGCACTCGCCGATACACCGGGGGGCGGACGGCAACGCAAGCCACAAAGTAGGCCACCGGGAGGTCCGACGATGATGATTTGCAGGCTTGACATCGCAAACAAGGCCGAATCCACCATTACGGGCAAACAGTCATGCCAAAGACCCCAATACACATGTTACATGCTAGGCGACCTGGTTGCACCGAGGTCACAAATTTGTACACGTGTTACTCATGCTTCAACAGCTGCCTGATCAACTGCTATCCTTATTCAAAAATAATTGTCCTTAATTACTACTTTGTTGTTATTTTTCCTTACTTACTAAAAGGAACAACGACGACAACTCACCAGATGGGTCAATTCATGTAGAGATTGGCCATGTCACTGTAGTTGAACTAGATGAATACTTGGGGATTGAGTTCATGAAGACATTGGAAGAGGATGAAGTTCTTCAAGCGCAAGAGTTAGTACACGAACTAAGGATCTCAGAAGAACGAACCTTACGGCTTTAATTTCGTACTTGCCTACTAGGAGCATCAACACAGTCATGTATTGTACACCAAGATTCAATACGCTTCATAAGGTATGGACATAACGTATGTTGATGACCAAGGATACCATTCCAAGTTATGCCACTAGTAGGCATATTCACGAGGGAATGTTAAGTAGGGTAAGATTGGAAGGTCCTGACCCCTACAAGTAGGAATTTTTGAAGGAGATAAAAGCTGATTTGAAAGGAGATATGGACTGGGTTTTTAACGAAATCGTTGAGGATGGGAACAAGAAAATGGAGGATTTTTCGAGTCCGGGCAAGATGGTGCTAAGCAGGCTGTAGTAGCTAGCTGCGAGCACCTGGTGGAGGATAAATTAGGAATGTTACAACATTCAGTAATTAAGGTATTAAAGAACAGTTCTTCTTTCAAAGACAGCATGACTAAGCGAGTCATGTCAAGAATGAAGGATTTTGGTGTGATTTTGTAAGGAAGGAAGAATAACAACGAAGTAGTCCTTACTAAGCGAGTCGTGTCAAGAATGAAGGATTTTGGTGTGATCTACTGCTGTAGTAAGGAAGGAAGAATAACTACTTGTCATGCCTCATTCGTATTGTCGCCGTCCAAGCCAACCAGCTGTGACCAAGTCTCCGACAAACCCACAGACGATCTCTCTTACCTTCAAGTGCCACGAGGAGCGAACGCGACAGGAAGGGATTGAAAGATCTGCGGGCGGACCTACCTGTGGTCCTGTGGGTGTGGCAGAAAGCTTGCACCGCAAGACGGGAAGGCTTTTTGATGGAGGGGGGCATCATCATGATAGTCGACGGCACTCTATTTGTGTGTCTGTCAACAAGTAGCATAGACCTCTCGCACTCAGACGTAAACAGGTAGGTGTCTCACCTGCTGCCCACGTTTCAGGCTAAGGATATTGGTGTCTATGATACAGCAGACACGGAAGATGCACGTCGACGTGCGGTGAACCTCACGGGCAGTTATAGTATCCCCCCGTACCCACCACACCCTGTGACACACGGACCCCCCCACAGAGGGAAGCAAGGCGAGGCAGACCCACCCACACACAGTACAACACACCACAGCACAGCAGACAGCCGTCTGTACCCTTGACCGCGAGAGAAAGGTAGACAGGTGAACTCCAGCACATCAAGACGTTCGTCGCGCCAACCACCGTACAGCTCTGGCTTCAACCCCAGTATCGCCTTGCACCGGAGAGGGCATGCACTGCTGATTCGTTCTTTGGCGGAGGAAAACATGCTGTTGCTGGCACCCGCGGCTGCTTTCCTCGGTGTTCGCACCTGTACTGCAGCGGCCGCCTTGTTGTCTTTCACGGATCTAACGCTGGCCTTCGTGCCCCCCCTGGCCGGCAGCAGTAGGATGTGGCGGAATGAGGAGCATGCAAGGAGGGCGAGGACACGTGCCAGGTTTGGTGCACAAAAGCTCAACATGGATTTGCCTGCGTGTGACGTTTCCATGTCACGTCGCGTGCCGGATGTGGTTGTCCTTGTAGCAGGGTCTGCGAGTGCACGACGGGAAACGCACAAGCTTCATGTGTGCTAGGGGTCACGTGTCGCACGGTCTACGGAACCTCCGCAATTGTTCATGTTCAGATGAACCGAACAAGATTAGATTGCTCAGCAGAGAACACGGTTGATGTAGAAGTAGGCTCTTCATTCTGTACTGGGCGTGTGCCCTCGTTGCTTACAACATGTACAGCGCTGTGTAGGCGCGGCCCGTGGTGCTGCTGTGCGCCTCGCACGTCAACTTCACCGGCCGCTTTGACCCCTCAACATTGACGACAGGCTTCCTGCAGAAGTGCGACCAACTAGACGGGCGCCAACCTGTTATGTGCGAGCGAAACGATTGGCTGGTGGGGAAAGCAGCGACGGTGTTGGTCGGCAGCAGACTGATACGGGGGGGGAAGGTAGTGGAGGTGGGGATGCTGCTGCTTCCCGGAAACGCTCTGGCGGCGGGAAGCGACGAAAACGGAGTAAAAAGTCCTTGCAACAGCGCCTCAATGAAATGAGGTATTCAAGCATATTTCCTGTTGTTGTGTACAGTATCAGGCGTTGATAGAGGAGAGAGCTCGTATGCATACCGCATGTGGCAGGTGACACGAGATACCACACCCCCTTGGACCGATTTGCAAAGCTTAATCACTCCACGAAGAAGACCATGCATAAATGAAAAGCGGTACGTTTTCGGAAAGCTCTCGACGAGAGGACTTCAACGCTGCCGTGTTCGGTGCCTCCACTCTTTCTGCTCTAGGAGATATCTAGCTTTGAAAGTAGGTCGAAGGGGGTGTGATATCTTATGCAACCTAGGCATACGTAGTCCTTTTCTAGAGCTTAGCACAGAGCTAACGGTTGCAAAGTCAGAGTAGTGCCGACGAGTTTGTGTAGCCTCGAAAGGGCCAAGCGCCCAATTACGTTTGAGGATAACAAACAACGAAGACGAACATGGTGCGAACGAAGTAAATGGATTTGATCATCTCGAATGAAAGGAGCTTTTTCACGGCGACTTGGTGACAACGCGGAGGCTGTGCAGAGAAAAAACTACTTGGCCTATCGATTACCGTACTTCTAGAGCTCCTGGCGGTCGTTGCAGCGCATATCTCGTCCTCGCCTTACCTCCAACATAGAAAGCACTCGAGAGTCGAGTGAAACTGAATGGTATACCGCCGTCCTAGCAACCAAGGTGGATTGTCACTGATGCGAAGACTACAGCAGTAGAACCTGTGGTAAATGTTGATGTTTGACTGGTGCGAAGACTACAGTAGGACTTGTGGTGAAGGTTTGACCCCCTCCCCCAGCCGATTCCCAAACAGCAGTGTTGACGGTACACGTCGCACCCTCAGACCCGAAATCACAACCCTCTGCGTCCTTTAGGTCGCTTCCCACACTGGTGCACATCCCGTCGCCTGTGTTGTGTGCCTACTACACCCTTACGCAAGATAAGAATGCTCGCTGACGGGCCCCTGGTGGACGCAGGTTGGACTTTTCCCTCGAAGACAGGGAGCCTTACGTCGCGGGGGCACGGCCACGGATACCGCCAGCACCGGAGTCTCCGCCCGGTGGCACACCCTCTCAAGCGGCGGCGCCTGCCGCGCTTGCCGGCGGCGGCACGATGCCGGCGAAGAGCGGGCGACAAGCGTTGTATTCGAACTACCGTCGGTGAGAGGGAGGGGAAGAGAGAGAGCTTGTACCAATCCGTTGGGGTTTTTTGCTCAACCATGTGGTAGTGTGTAGATGGCATCCGGGGGGGAGGGGGGTACTCATAGTCGTACATGCCCTTGTCGTTAGACCATTGATCTCGCATCCCTACAAAGCCGGGACGGAACGCGCCGGGTTCTCACCGGACCAGGCTCTCACATCACCAAGCGCGAAGCGCCGTGAGGTATTCGGCGAGTGGCATAAAGGGTGCGCTGCATCCTGCTAAGGGTGTTCGGCATCTTGTGCTGACTTCCTTGCGTACGGATGACAACTGCGTATGGCTTAATTTATTTTCTGGTCCTTTCACTTCCAGAGACAGTTGTAAGCACTGTGTAACTGCCTCGAGGGTGCTTGACAAACTTAACACAACGTGGTGCCGTTATCCCCTTTGCGCGGAGTGACGGTTCTCGACCCCGCACAACATAATCTACTCGACCACCATTTATGGTTACCGCAACAAAAAAAACGAAGGAACAAAAAAAGCGGTAACCTGGTTGCTGAGCTCACGAAGTGATCGGCTTGTTTTACGACATCGCTGCCAAGCGACGCAAACCCAACCCCGATAGCAAACATCGGGTGGGTGGGGGGGTGAGGGAGGGGGTGGTCGGATAGTTTGAGTGAGCAAGGATTAGGAGGCTCAGCTTGCGTGCGCTAGGAGAGAGTCAATCACGTGAGAGTGCAGCAGGAAACTTGTTTGTTATGGACGATTAATAAATTTTTTTGAATTATGCCGATCACCTCGCGTACGCACAGCAAATTTGGTAGCAGTGGGGCGGAATTCGCAGTAGCAAGGCGTGGGTTCGCCACCTTTTGTGGTGTACTTCTATTATGCAGCATCAGGATTCTCGAACTTGTCGTGTCGATGGTTTCTTGAAAATACACGATTTTTTTTGGTAGACACCGCCGAATGTGCTATAAGCAACAATGTGCAGAGTTCCTATTTCAGCGACAAGCAAGACATATTCCGAACAACACGGCACTACCGTATGGAAGAAGATGGTGAACGGGAACTCTGGCGCGTTCATATGCTTGTCCTTGTTTCGCGTTTTTGAGGTTATGCAACAAGGCAGTGGTCGCGTTGATGAGCCAATTGGCGTGCTTGACCTAACCACCTGGCTTAGCTTCCTGTCTGTTTCTTTGGTTTTCATTTCGGCCTCTCCTCCCCCCCCACCTCTCTCCCTACGCTGGCCTCGTGGAACGCCACCTTGACCGCGACCTTTGCCGCGTTGCCCCGGTTCTCCCCCTATACCCCCGCGTGGTTTGCACCAGCCGAAGACGACCGTTGAACGCTTCGTGCATGCCGAAGAACCAGCGCCCGCAAGGGTGCGGGCCACTGCTGCCACCGATTGGTGAGAGAGTGTCGTCGCCTGGAAGGCGGTGCTGCGGGTTACGTTCCGGCGCTCTTGTACCTCATCCTCGCCTCGTTTTTCGCCGAACCCCTCTCTTTTTACTCTTGTTACTGGTTTTGACTCTGCCGGTCTTCTTGTTTATTTTTACCCACTGTTTTACCGGCTGTTCCGTTCGATCTCTCTCTCACTCATGCGTGGTTCAAGATAGTCTGCTTGTCTGGTTCTCTCTGGCGCGTGCGTGTGCTCTCCCAATCTCCACCATCCCTTTGCCCCTTTGGTTGGCCTACTCCCCGACCCCGCTCCCATCCCTCCCCGATCTTCCCTGCTCCAGGCACAGGAGGCAAGCAGGTGGTCGTCGTGGACCACGTAGCGCCGGAGCTGGACAAGATCCGGCACTTGTCCGAGTACAAGTCGGACCTTCCCTGCGTCCAGACTGGGACGTGCCCCGTGCCGGTGTTTCGCTGTTCGAAGTGAGCACATGAAAGAGGGGATGATGCGTCGTCGAGAGGTTCTCATACTGGTGTTGTCGTTTGATGAAGATGTCGCCCCCATGCATGCCTGACAACACTTCTTTCACCCACCCGCGATCAGCGCGGATACGTACTTGAGGCAATGCCCCGCGTCCATGGTCGAAGCAACAACAACAACACCAACACAATGGGGAACAGTGCAAAAAAAAAAAACGTTGGGCCGGCCGCGCAAACGCCATTGATTGTTTTCGCTGGTTTCCGTGACTTTCGATGGCGCCAGAGGCCACGTGTGGGAGCCGAACGGAACACCGGTGTGCTTCTATTGCCCCATCTGCGCTGACACGAGGATCACGACGAGGATGAAGAGAAAGCGAGATCTGGAAGCGATGCAAGAGATCGCCCGAGGGAAAGGGGGAGAATGCATCGCCGAGGAGTACCTTGGTACGTGGAAGGAAGGGACGGGACGGAACGGGGGGGGAGCGCGCGGTCCCGGCACTCCCGGTCTACGGCGTTGTAATTTTATATGGTAGGGCGTACGATCATTGGAAAACTAGGGTTTGACAGGCAGTCCGAGGTCTCGGTGCGGTCTGTTGTGGTATAGAAAAACGAGCTGAGCGAGAGGAGGGAGAGGGGCCTCCCCCCCCCCTAAATCCCGGAACACGCCGTCATGCCGCAGTTGGCGTGTGAGGCTCTTAGAAGCTTCTTCGGTGAACAAGAGGAGTCGTTGCGGTCGTCGAAAACAAGGCTCAAACACACAGTTTTGACGAACGATCAAAGCATGAATACCACCACCGCCCTCACCCTCTCCGATGTCCCCATACTTGTCGTGTCCGTTGGTAACGGTAACGGTGTCTTTGGTGGCAGGTATAGATGAGAAGATCGCTTTCCGGTGCGGCGATGGGCACGAGTGGCTAACTTCGCCGTCCAACTTGGTCTACAAAAATGTGAGTTGATCGCAAAGCCGACCCTCCACACTCTGTAGGTACGTCGCCTTCGCCTTACGCCGATTTTGTCCCCCACAGCAGTCGATGTTTTTTCGTCTGGCGACGTTTTCCGAACCCTAACCCCAGGCGTATGAACCACATGATCTTGTGACGAGAGCTACAGATATATTAACCTCCTCCAGCATCTCCGACAATTTTATCGCCTCTTGGAAATGCTCAACGCCGTATGCATACACAAGTGGTGTTGAAGGGCGAATGAAATTTCATTTGTCCGCCATCGTTGGCGTGTCTTTTTTGTTGTTGCAGACGTGGTGTCCCAAGTGCGCCGCCCTTCGTTCGGTCGAGCGCAAGAAGCTCACCCTCGCGGACATGCACCAGACGGCTCGGCAGTTCGGAGGGGTTTTCCTGAGCCCCGAGTACAAAGGAGCGGCGGTCAAGGTGTGTTAACGTAAAGAGCGAGTCGTGTTTGTTGTCGCCGCGTTGCTTTGCTTGCACCGTTGCGGCCACCCCGGCTCGGAGTTTCCCAGGTCTAGCGTACGCCGCAGTCTGCTTGATGATGGAGGCACAGCAGTAAATACCGTTTAAGAGAATCAGGGGTGTCTTGAGTTGGAAACGTACACGTCGTGGTGTCAAAATCGTCACCGATGTTTTGGACCTCCGCTTTGTTAATTCCGCGTGCTGCTGTGCGTACTCGCGTTCTTTGTCCTTCGTGCCATGGATCGACTTTCTCGTTTGCTTGCTTGGACGTGCCGGTTGAAAACATTCAGCACGAATGGCGGTGTAAACGAGGCCACACGTTCTGGAACACGCCGAACAACGTCCGCCGTGCCGAAGGAGGTCGCCGAGTTGCCACTTTCTGCAAGGTATGTTACTGTTGTTGCTGCTGTTAATGCTACTTGCTAGCGTTGTCAGTATTGTTCTTGGTTTGGTCCCGCCGGCACCCTCATGCTTTGCACCACTTTTTTAGAACCCGACGCCCCGTAGCGCGAAGAGATCGCGGAGCTTCCAAATTTTCCGCCAAATTTTCGGCAGCCCACGAGGTTGCTGTGGGTTTCACCCCTCATCGCTTGACACGAATCGTCCCTCGAAACGAAATCTGCCTCAACGAAACAGATATGCACGTCGATGGATAGGAGAATACTCAAGGCGGCCGTTTTGGGAGGGCTGGACAAGGACGACGCCAAGAGCACGTTGGACCAGTTGAACGCGGTGGGCGCCATGCCGATAAGGCGGCATTTCTTGAAGAAAAGGGCGACCGGGAAGTCGACTCTGGCGGCACAGAGGCGGAAAATGATCCGCATGAACAACAGGAGCAGCAGCGGCAGTCCAGCAAATACCACCAGCAATATTAGTAGCAGCGGGGAAGCCCCTGTCCGATGACGGTAGTACATGGTACGCATACCGGTAAAAACTGCGGCACAGCAGTTCCCAAGTATCAACGCCGCCCTTCGGCGTTTTGGGATGCTGATGCATTTCCAGGCGACGTGTGCGTCGTTTATGTTCTACATAGCCCAAATGTAAGCGATCTCGCGGGAGACCTTGCGCACAGGACTAAGCCAAGACGAGTGGTGCAAGCATGATGGCACGCGATAGGCGTGCCATCAGGTGTTAACCGACTCCTTTACTTTTTACTCAGAAAGGTACAATCGTGGTATTGTGTGTAGCTCATCAGGGAGCAAAGGGGGCCCGTCACACCGCGACCTGGGTGAGTCACTTCCGGTTGTTCTTTTGTGAGATGCAAGGGTGTAAGGGAACGGGAGATGTAGGGTACACCCCGCTCGCGAAGACGGGAGAGGAGGGGCAGCGGAAGGGATGACGTGTGCACTTCCCGTTTCACCCGATGCAAAAACTTGTGTTTGTGGTGTACATCCTCGATCTGCAGTCTCGGACTGCTGTGGGGTGCGCCCTGAGTGTCTGCTGCTGCTGTGGAACGTTCTGTAGGAACAGTGTTTTCCGCTCATTTTGGAGTTCTGGGTGTTGTGTGCGTTACCGCAAGGGTGTAGAAAGCGGCAGCAGACTTTTAAAACCGGGAGAGCGCCGTCGACAAGACGGGCGAGGTGCCAGACAGTCCAGGTGCGCCAGCCATGGCAAGGTTCTAGACTTGACACGATGTACACACGATGTCGGGTATGGGCACGGTGTGAAGCTCTTCTCGGCTGTTGGGATTGGGTTTGATCGAAAGAGAGTACGCGGAACAACGAAACCAGGAACAATGCCTGCTCAGGACTTCTTGTGACGGGTGACGTGGTCGCTACAACGTGACGTGGTCGCTACAACAGATTTCACCTGGACCGTTCTCTCTTGGACTACACCTCCTCCCCACGACTTCTTCGCAGAGCGGCTGCGGGTCGAAAGGCAACGGACAGCAGCGCCGTCTTTGTGTGGACACAAGACCCGGGCAGAAAAAACAAGGCGAACAACCAACAAACGAAGACGATTCACCCGAACACATCCCTCTTCAATACTGTTCGGAAACAAAACAAGGCCGCTTGCCCCCGTGCCCCCTGCCCTTGACCGCCACCCCTCCCGCTTCTGCTCAGCACGAGGCCGCCAGAAAAAAAACGATCCCGCACTGCCAGACAAAGTAACACCCCCCCCCCGTTGCCATAGTAACTAGCATGTGGTGTCCGCCTCGCGTAGAACATCTGAACCTTCGTACCCCACGCTCCAAGACACAACAGCAAGTTGCTCTGTATGCGATTTCGTCAGATTTACATCCACCGGCAGCCCGCACCTCCTTCTATGGCGTGCATTACTCCCGGTCTCGCCAGAAAAAGGCCGGTGCACCTCGCAAACACCTATGATATGACTTGAGAAGAATGGAGACACGTATTCGACGGGCATTGAGAAGTGCAAACCAAGGGTCCCCACAGCAGTATCCACGATGGTCATGATCGGAGTGTCGATTTTTTACACCATTAGGATGTCGCCGCGGTTAGCCTCTCCTGAACGTCCGCCCAGTTGACCACCTTGAAGATGCTCTTGACGTAGTCGGGCCTGACGTTCTTGTACTGGAGGTAGTACGCGTGCTCCCACACGTCGATCCCTAGCAAGGGCACGAGGCCGGTTGTAGCCTCCAGCGGGTCCTGTACAATCAAACATGACCGGGGTGGAGATGACATCGAGGGTGAGAGGGTGTCAGGTCCTCGTTTTCGCGCTGCTGTTGCGCGTGCTCGACTCGCTCGAGATCCTGTCCTTTTTACACTTTTACACACCCAACAGCGCAACAAATGTGTTTCATGGCTGGGCAACAAAAGCTAACAGAATGAAGGATCAGGCCTAACTAGTGGGGTCGAATTCGAACCGACGGAAGAGCAACGAACGACGTTGGTTCGGTACCGCACTCGCTTGCGTCCACGAAAAAATGTCCGAGGGGCAAACTTCTCGGCACACTGCTGTGGAAGTACAGTAGTAGTAGAAACGGTTGAATACGATTGGCATATCCACACAACCAACAGTTCGGGGGCGTAGCTGACTGCAAGACAACCCCAGCACACAACAAAAAACAAAATGGAACCAATAGATCACGGGGTACACGCCACAGAGCCCAAACGTCGACAGAACCCGCCAACCCCATCCCTTTCACAACACCACGAGAAAAACACAAATGGCACCCCTTTAATCTACATCACGCGGCGGACCCAAAGAGAAACAACACCCGTCCCCCCGAGAAGCCATGGAGTCGCTTGATGCCGTAAAGTTGTTTGTTCCCACTCGCGAAGTGCCACGTTGGGGTCGGCCTTCACATGAACTTTGTATCGCTTGAACCGGTGAAAGAGTTGCTGGGCCTCTCCTTGCGTTTCTGGTTCATACACGGCATCAAGCGACTCATGGCTTCTCGGGGGGACTTGTCTACAACCTACCCGCAGCAAATGTGTCCAGCTCATACAACACACACAAACCTGGTTGGCGCAGGTGGCGATTGCTAACCGTTTGTTGACCTTGTCGTAGCCAAGCCACCCCCACCCGGACCCCTGGACGCCCACCGACGCCGCGCTCATCTTCTCAGTGAGCTCTCCCATCGAGTGGTACTGCGCCTCGATCATGTCCGCCAGGGTGCCGGTTACCATCTCCCCCCCCCCCTTGCCCACGGGCGCCAAGTTCTGCGAGGGAAGGGCGGAGTGCGAGTCTTAGAGGACCTAGCGGTCAAGTCTCGAAAGCGTATCGACATGTTCTGGGGTCTCTGTGCTCCTAAACATACTAGCACGAGGTCCTCTGGAGCATGGTCACGTCTAGCGGCCATTTAACACAAAACACAAAACACGAAAGAAGAAAAAAACGCAACCGAGACAATACGGCCCCTCCCTCATGTTCCGTATCTTCTTGAGCGCCACGCTGCCAAACAACCGCGCACTCATTGGGACAAACAACCTAAGGTGGCCCAAGGTATTGGGAAACTCCGGTGACAGGGCAGCCAGCTCCACGATCACAGCTATCAAAGGTGGTAAACTCTTGAACTCTCTCTCCCCGCCTCTCGCTCTCCCCCTTGCCTTCCAGAAGATGGAGTGGTTGAGGTGGCCGCCGCCGTTGAACTTGATGGCGGCCTGCAACTGAAGGATAGCGGTCACGTCTCCCTTCGCCTCCGCATCTGCCAGCTTCTCCATCGCCGCGTTCAGGTTGTTGATATACGCCTGACAATTTCAAAGGAGCAGTTCCAATTCCAGCCGAAAAAAGGTACGCGGGGTGACAAAGCAGTCCCAAAATCCACGACCTGTAGCGCTGAGCCTTCCAGCGCGGTACTCCACAATCCAGAAGCATCACCACCATTACTCGTTGTGGAATCATATGGGAGTAGTGTTAGCGTCACTGCTGCACGGATCAAAACTTGATGACCGCGGGTACGGAGAGCAGCAGAATGGGCAACGAAGCGGGCCGCACAGAGTAGCAGTCCTAAGCGTCGATGGCGTTTATTTTCGTCTCGCAATGAATAGTCGCGCCACGACAGGAGCAGCACGTAAAGTACTGCTGTCCTGCGAGGCATAACTTGGTAATATTGCGTTTAACACACGCTGTTCTCAAGGACATACACCCACTGGCAAAAGGGTAGCATTTTTGTACTGCGCTTGGCGGACTGGTCGTCAAGCAACAAACACCACCAGTGCTTCCCGTCGAGGTTCTCAACATCCAAGTGCGGGGCTCTTCCACAACAACAGTCATATATTCCACCGTGTTCGTGTTGTTGTTGGTGGTGATGGTGTTGTTGAATGCTGCTATTGCCGTTCATGTCTCCGTTCGCATGAAAAAACAACCGTAAACTTCATCCAGTATCTCCTCTTCCCCTACTTTGAAAAGGCAACGATACAACAATATCCCCCTCAATTTGTGCTTTTCTCTAGTGTTGGTGGTTGGTCGGGCGGGGTTTTCATCCCCTGGGGGTTTTCATCCTCTTATGGGATTTACCGGTATGTACACCATTCGTGGAACAGCAGTAGCGCCTGGGGAAGAAATAGAAATGAGCCGCCCTAGAGTCAACGACGTGGTTATCTCCTTTGAAAAAGTTGTGATGCGTCTCCTTTCGAAGGGAAGGGTGTCCCACGTGCCGTGCCCGCTTGGCGGCGACCATCCTGGGTGACCGCACGTCATGTTGTCATGTTGTCATGTTGTGTCATGTTGTCATGTTGTCATGTTGTGTCATGTTGTCATGTTGTGTCGTGTTGTCATGTTGTCATGTTGTGTCATGTTGTCATGTTGTCATGTTGTGTCATGTTGTGTCATGTTGTCGCACGAAGCGGGCTGTTATGAAGGTAGAGCTGGTGTGGTTGATGCCTTACACCCCGCACACGGCGCCCGATGTGAGTCAACAACACAACATCCGATCACCAACCACCAGTAAGTGTCCACACCGAATGCTTCGCTCTCTCTCCTCTGGCTGTGCATAAAAAGGCATAGCCACAAACAACTTTCCAGATCGAGAACATCAACACTCTTGCGTCACCCATGGACGCTTCCGTGTAAGGCAAGTGTACGGCAACCGAACAGATCGAACCGACCTGGTGGTGCTTGGTGTGGTGAATTTTCATTATTTCGCCGCTGATAGCGGGCTCAAGCTCGCCGTAGTCGTACGTCAGGTCGGGCAACACCGCTGGCGCCCTTGCCGCAGCCGACGAAGAGATCATGCGCCCCGCCGAAGGGACGCGACGTGCAGCATTGCATGCAACCCTGCTCACCAAAGCAAGTTGCACAACAACGGCGGGGGGAGGCGGGGCAAGAAGCAAGATGTCAAGTGCGGAAAGGAACGTGGAGCCCATGCATATTTTTGTAGAGCCAAAACTCACCCGCCACGAACTTTCCTGGAGGTAAACTGGCGCTATCGGGATGCGAATACCGTGGTGTAGGGTATGCAACACTCTTACCTCGAAAACATCATGACTGCTCTTCAAGCGAGTATGCGATGTGCTCGGCCAACTCTCTCGCAGGGGGCACGCATATTGGAAGTTGAATATTGACCCCTCCCTGTGATATTCTCTAGATCCCCCCACGTTGGTCGGTGTTTTGGCGGCGCCTGCTGCCTGGTGCAGTGTGCAGTGCACTTCAGCGGTCGCGTCTGCAGCGGAATACCATCTCTAGAGACAGGAGGTCATCATGTCTGCTGACTCTGCTAGCGATCTAAAGGTGACTTGAACTTAAATAGAGAATCAATGTTGATGATATCTAACTGCTGTGGCTGCTGTGAATACGCTTCGAAAATTCCATGAAGAATATCATTAAGGAATAATAAAAACACACACAGAAAGACTTCATCTGATGCACCTCCGAACGTCGCCGTTCGCATCCCCGCGGGCTAGCACCACCGCGCATCCCCACCCGACCTCTCTCAAACCTTCTGCACGGCAACAAACAAAGTATAGTTGCTGCGTAGCTTGATGCGTCGCCATGGCTCGATTGGTTCGTAGGCCCATCTTTTTTTCTCCTGCCCAGCATGTTGCCCACCACCCACCGACCGTTTAGTGCCGGACAAAGAGCCAGCTGGCCAGCGTGTTTCCATTTGGTGTGCAATTTCTGGGGGCTGAATCGTTCTAGAAAATGAATCGTTCGCCATCTGGATACATGCACAGACCCGATCAACCGACCAATCGACCGACACCTTTGTGTGGATGTTTCCATCAGGCTTTTGGAAATGTTGCCACATCTATACTGAAGTACTGAACAATCCTCCCAGAAACAATTTGAACTGCACTACAACGGCAATGTGCAGTTCGTATGTAGTGATGGTGGTATCCGAAAACTACACCAGTCCTGCCTGCCGTAGCATCTGTCGGCCTCGTCCGATACACAGCAGTGATTGAATAGTTCATGAGCTTGTTCAGAGCCAAAATTCCCTGACCGGGGTTGGCTGTGAAGCAGCAGCAGCCGTAGTCCACGCGCAGTCACCGAATAGCGATCTACTGACAGGAGTGTTGACCGACCTCTGTTCTTGTTCTTTACCTGGTGCTATGCATGTAGGACAGATCGGATCCCTACAGATCGAGCTATTCAGCTCTTTCGGAGGGTATGTCCATCGTGATCGGTAGGACTACCTGGTAGGTGATCTGTGTATGTTTGCCCCGAGGTGGTCTGAAAGACAAAGGCAGGTGATCTGAGTATATTTGCCCCGAGGTGGTCTAAAAGACAGAGGCAGGTGATCTGAGTGTGTTTGCGCCGAGGTGATCTGAAAGGCATGGGTGATCTGAGTATGCTTGCTCCCTGGTGATCTGAAGGACATAGGTGATCTCAGGTTGTTTGCTCCCTGGTGATCTGAAGGACATGGTGACTTGAGTATGTTTGGTTTGTGCTGATCTGAAGGACATAGGTGATCGGGGTATGTTTGCTCCGAAGTGGTCTGATATGAGTACCGTATATGACACAAGATAACACACCCCCTGGACCGATTTTCAAAGCTCGATTACTCCACGGCGAAGAGGATGCATAAATGAAACAATACGTTTTCGAACAGCTCTCGACGAGACGGTTCCAACGCCGCCGTTTTCGGCGCTGTGACTCTTCCTGCTGTTGAGAAATCGAGCTTTGAAAATCGGCCAAGGGGGTGTGTTATCTTGTGTCATATACGGTATGTCTGCTCCGAGGTGACCTGAACGACATGGGTGGTAAGAGATTTTGTGCTCCCTGGTGATCAAAAGGACATGGGTGATTTGAGTATGTTTGCAATGTTTGGTTCCTACTGATCTGAAGTATAGGTGATCGGGGCATGTTTGCCCTAGGCGACCTGAAAGACGCAGGTGATCTGAGTATGTTTGCTCCCTGGCGATCTGAAGGACATAGGTGATCGGGGTATGTTTGCGCGAGGTGATCAGAAGGACAGAGGTGATCTGAGTAAGTTTACTAGTGATCTAAAGACATGAGTTATCTGAGTGTGTCTGCTCCGAGGTGATCAGGAGGATATTAAGTGATCTGAGTATGTTTGCTCGCTGGTGATCTGAAGGACATCGATGATCGAGTATCTTCATCTTTGCTCCTGCTGATATGCAAGATGCACGTGAGCTAGCTCATGATGTGTCCTTATAAGCGTAATTTGTTGCGTAGTTTTTCTTCTACAAATTCGTCTTGAAAAACCTCCTTCACCATATGGTACAAGGCAGTTTGGCTTTTAAGGGACTCTCCCGAAATGTGCACACGCACGCCCCCCGAAACGTGCCGTTGTTCGACTCAACCCTGAGCATGAGAGCACCGCGATGTCGGTGAGAGGCTCCAGCCTCGGTACCTAGGCGCGTCTTCCCATACTGTATGAGCACTCCTCCCGCGGATCAAACAGGACACTGACGGTGCGGCACGGGTCCACGCACGAAGACGAGGGTGTTGCGACGCAACCAGCAGTAAAACATGCGACCCACACATCCGTTAGATGATCATCTCTGTGTGCAGCCAACCAGCCTTGACACAGGGTCGACGTTGAACCAGCGTGCTCTTTTTTCGGGTTGGGTTTCCCCTTGCAGTACCCAGCTCCCTGCTGGCACGTTTCAAGATCTCAGCAGTTCGGAGTTCTTGTTCAGTTTGGTACCTGACAACAACAACAACAACAACAACAGCAACGACAAAGAACTTGTCCAACATTTGTTCGTCTGCATTCGTGTCGCGGATCTGCATTGGTCATACAGGAGAAGGGTAACACAGCCTTTGCTGCCAAGCGCTACGAGGAGGCCGAAGGCTTGTACTCCCAGGCTATCGCCATGCTCGGGTACGCGGGATGGAAGGCGGGAGGGGGATCAGAAAGCAGGGGGGGGGTGAGGAGATACCTTAGCGGAGACGAGGGTCGCTGGTACTTCCGTATCGTACAAGACCACTGTCGCATACCGACTGCTGTGCGAGTGTATCCTCCTTGAGCGCCGTCTTTCACAAGGAGCCAGCCACCTCGTGGTGTTAGGTCGTGTGCTGTTTGTACGTACTCGTTAACGGTTTTGTTTCTTTGTGTATCACCAATCAGGGAAGAAGCACCCCACACGCTATTCGGCAACCGGGCAGCGGCGAGGCTGGGCCTGGGGCTGCCGCAGCAAGCGCTGGAAGATGCTGAGGTTTGTTTTCTGACAGCAATGATACAGAGCCGCTTTGAAGGTACTGTCGTGCGCCGGTTTGCTTGCCCTGTGAACGTGGTGATACCCTTGTCAGTGACAGTGACGCGTGAGCCCCCCCCCACGTGCTATCCATCAACCCACTCTCAAACGGTCCGTCTGTGGTAGGTGCCAACACACACAGCCTATAGCTTTGGAAAGGCAAAGACAGAGGATAAGGCGACAAAACCTTCCCTTACATGAGTCCACTAAATAGCCCAACGACATGTGCTTCGTGTCCTACAAACCCGTTATTTGTCAATGAAGAACACGTCGTAGTCTTATAATTTCTGTTTCGTGCACATGTGTATCTGTGAAGAGTTTTTTTGCCGCGCTCTGGTATCCACAGCAGGGTACCGGGGCATGGCGCGCTATCCCACCTACCAACGCGGGTGCAAAAACACCCGAATAACTCCTTCATCCTCCCACTTCTTGCTCTTTTTGTTGTGGACACCCCGTTGGGACGCTGCCTTATGAAGACGGCCATCAAGAAGGACGGGACGTGGCTCAAGGGGTACCACAGAAAGGCTTGCGCTCATCAGGCCATGGGAGAGAGAGGAGTCGCGCTCGAGACGTACCGGCACGCCCTCGACATCGAACCCAAGAACAAGTGAGTAGGAGCGTGAATCTCTCCCCTTAGATTTGTGCTATGTATTGATGTATGATATATTTTCGTACGCCTCACCCTAGCGACCGACGGGTAGGTGGCCTGGGCGACAAAGGGGCCGTTTCGTTGGAGTCTATGGCGGGCTTCTTTTCCCCTGGCGGTGTACCCCTTGTACCGTTACTGTTTCTTTTGTCCATGCTTCGTGCTCTCTCTCTCTCTCTCTCTCTCTCTCTCTCTCTCTCTCTCTCTCTCTCTCTCTCTCTCTCTCTCTCTCTCTCTCTCTCTTTCTCTCTCTCTCTCTTTCTTCCCCCCCTCTCTCTCTCTCTCTCTATCATTCTCACAATCCCATTCTCCTT